TGCAGCATATTATTTAGAGCGTTAGTGAATTAAAAAAAAAAAGCAGTAGAATTAAAAAAAAAGCAGTAAAAACCGGAATGTCCAACTGATAAGGCTGAAAATTTTTTCACTTGTTATTTACAGTAAGATAAATACATTCACCAACTTTTATTAAAATAAAACCATTTAAACTGGGTGTTCGGATTTATATGTCACTTAGTATATTTAGATTCCAAGGAACGAGAAATTTGATAAAGGAGACTTGTATGAGTTTTAATTTCGCCACTAAATATTTTCATACGATTGGTGGGTTTGTCTACGAGATATGATAAGTGTTCCAGAATATAGTTGTTATCGTCAAGTGCTTTCTTAATGAGTTCTAAGTCTTTATATACAAGGAGTGTCCAAATTTCGTTGGAAATCTTAAGAGGGGCGTCTTCATGAAAATAGATACCTAAGGTGTTGTTAAGCGGTTTGATGTCTATCTGGGCTGTGACAGCCGCAAGAAACAGCAGACTGCACCTGAAAGAGAAACTAAGTCTCAAAACATGGTTTCAGTCTGTCAAAATTAACTTTACTTATTCTATTTGTTTCCGGGTTCTTAAGGAGCGCGGAATTTTCAAAAACTTGAGTAATTTCGAATGGACCATCAAATTTGTTCTGAAGCTTGTTTGAAATTTGAGACTGTTTCACAAAGACTTTATCGCCAACTTTATATGATTGTAAATTGGGTGACACTCTACTATCAAAGCGAATTTTTGCTTTTTCAGTTCTCACGCGGGCAATTTTGTAGTAATATTCGAGTTTATTCCGAATGTCTCGAACATACTTGGACATCAATTCTTTTTCTAAATATACGTGTTCGGGCGGACGACCAGAGGTGTGGCCAAACACGAGCTCGTATGGTGTAAAGCCAGTAGTTTTATTTCTAGTGCTATTGTAGCACTGAACAGCATAGGGAAGAATATTGAAGGGATGTTCGTCGGGATTTTCGGATACATGGGATCTGATCATTTCCAATAAAGTGGCGTGAAATCGCTCAATCGAGCCATTGGACTGGGGATGACTGACACTAGAAAAAGTTAATTTAATGTCATAAAGACTACAAAGGTCTTTCATGAGGGCGTTGTCAAATTCTTTTCCGTAATCACAGTGTATTCGGAGAGGTGTACCATAATGTTGGAAATATAAAAGTAGTATTTACTACAGATTTTGCAGATTTGTCGCTAATTGGATAGGCTTGAGAAAATTTTGTTAGCTCGTCTCGGATTGTGAGAGCGTAGCATTTAGGTGGGACTTCCAAAATGTCAATGTTGATTCTTTCGAACGGGGCTTTAGGGGTTTCAGTTACTACAAAAGGGGCACTGAGGTTTTTACGACAAATTTTGGTCTTTTGACAAATTTCACACTTTTTGATGAAATGCTCAACGTCTTTAGTTAAGCCGGGCCAATTATATCGTTCACGAATTCGCCTAATTGTTTCATTAATTCCTCGATGAATGTTTTTCTTACCACAATGGTATTGATCTAAAATGACGGGGATTTCATCGGGACTAGGAGTTTTGGTGACGTTTTGGCAAACGACAAGTTTGATATTATCATCCGAAAAAATAAAAGAGAAAATTTCTAAAATGGGTAAGTCCAAATTATTTTCAACGTAATTTGTTGGGATAGGTCGAATACACCTTTGTTGGTTAAAATTACAGAGAAAAGATGCTGTATGCAAGTTACGGGATCGTATGGCACAGGAATAATATAGTATTTTCTATCTTTAATTGTTTTGCTAGACGCGATGTTAATTTTATCTGCAGAAAAATCAAGATTTTCCTCGAATATGTCTTCGATAATTTTTTCGTGAAGATCAGATAGAGTGTTTTGTCTGAAAAACGTGACGATATGTTTATGACTTTTGTCTAGGAGTTGGGAATTTGAAAATTGATTTTGGAATAATCGATCAGGGATGTGGTTTTGTAAAGGCGGGCAAAGATATCAAATTCACTTTCGGAAAATTGGGTAGAAGGTTCTCCTTCTTCGTCACTATGGGTAAGGGCGTTAACAGTTTTGGGTAATTTGATACGTGATAGGGCATCGGCATTTTTATTAGCCTTGCCTGGCTTGTACACTATTTCATAGTCGTACTCCTCTAGCTTGAGGCGCCATCTTGCTAATCTACTTCCGGTGTCTCGGCAAGAGAAAAGCCACGTAAGGGGTCTATGGTCTGTTACGAGTTTAAACTTTCGACCATACAAATAAGGTCTAAAATGTTTTACACTCCAGACAATAGCTAGAAGTTCTCTTTCAATGGTGGGAATATCTCGTTTCTGCTTTACAAAGTGTACGAGATGCATAGGCTATCGGGAGATCTTTACCTATGGGACCTTGGGAAAGAACGCCAGATATCGCAAAAGCGCTTGCGTCTGTTGTAAGCACAAAAGGCTCTTCAAAGTTGGGGTAGATCAGTATAGGAGATGTTGTTAAAGCATTTTTTAAAGTATCAAATGACTTAACACACTCGCTATCAAAGTCAAATACTGCGTCTTTCTGTAATAGTCTGGTAAGGGGTTTCGCAATTTTGGTATAAAGCGTCGGTAGTAACCTGCAAGACCTAAGAAAGATTTTATTTCTTTAGGATTCTTGGGCTGAGGGAAATTTTTTATGCAATCCACTTTATCTGGATTGGGCTTAACGCCATCAGGGGTTATTACATGACCAAGATAGGCTACTTCCTTTCTGAGAATTCGCACTTATCAGGCTGGATTTTGAAATTCGACTTCCGAAGACGTTAAAAATTTCGGTAAGCCTACTGATGTGTTCTTGGATGGAGGGGGAATAGACAATTATGTCATCCATGTATACAAGACATCTTTCGTTTTGTATACCCATCAAGATGTTGTCCATGACACGTTGAAACGTGGCAGGAGCGTTCTTGAGACCAAAAGGCATCCTCAAGAATTGGTAATGTCCGTTTTCAACTGAAAATGCAGTTTTAGGAACATCAACTGGATTTATCTCGATTTGATGAAATCCAGATGCCAAGTCCAGTGTCTAAAGTACTGGCATTTCCCTAATTGATCAAGTAGATCGGAAATGTTTGGCAGGGGATATTTATCATCGATGGTGATTTCGTTAAGCTTACGATAGTCAATCACCATACGCCATTTCTGTTTACCAGAGGCGTGCATTTTCTTTGGTACAACCCACACCGCAGAATTCCATGGCGACGTGCTAGGTTCGATAATACCTTGTTTTAGTAATTTTGAAATTTGATGTTTGACTTCTTGCTTGTGGCCATAAGGGTATCGGTAGGATTTGGTAAAAATTGGTTTACTGGTAGTGGTATCAATGGAATGCTTAATTTCGTTTGTAAATCACAGGCTATCACCATCTAAATAGAATATGTCCGAAAAATCTAACAAAGATTCGTAATTAATCTTTTTTTCCTCGTTGAGATGATCGAGACGTAATTGATCTCTAATAACATCTCTACGGTTATACTGTCTTTGATTGTAAAGAAGTGTTGAAATTATTGATAGGAGGTTCGTTAAAGGGCTAGAAATTTAATTGGGGTAAAATTACATTTACATGGAACTGGATAGACGGACTTTTTCTACCTCACACGCCAGAAGAATGGCTTCAGTATTTCTAAGCTCGGATTTGAGCTTGACAACTTGTTCAACTCTGGGAGGAAAGGAAATAACATTATGAACTTGAGAATTTTCTTTAAATTGCGAAGCTTGGGACTTTTCTTTAAACTGAGAAGCTTTGGAATTATTTCCGTCACCTAGTTGGAAAAGAGGGACTGTTTTGAAATTTGTAATCAATTGACGATTTTTCAAATCAATAATACAATCATAATGTTCAAGAAAATCTGACCCAAGAAGGCCATCGAATGAAGTATCTAGATCATGGACATAAATTGTGTGATAATCATTGGGAGCAAATGGGACTAAGACTGCTTCAGTAATACTAATTTTTTCGTCAGTAATACCTCGGATAGAGATATTTTCTGCGACACGATTGGTATAATTTTTACAAGTGTTACGTTTGAAAATGGAGCAATCTGCACCACTGTCAATGAGAATTTTGAATTTTCCAGTAGCATCTTTAATGTAATATAAGTTGTCTTGGCTAACGGGGTGAATTGTCGACGGGACTATAAACGGAGGATTTATATGAACATCTGATCGCGTGTGTTGCTGACGCTCGCACACGGTTTCGCGTTCGCGTCCTCGTCACTGAGATTCGCTAAGTTCGCACATACTATCGCGGTACTGTCGTTGGGTTCCGCAGGGGGTTTCTCTTTCAAACACTCTGAAAATCCTGGAATTGTTGTATGTCCGAATAAGCGTGGTCAACAAATGTATCGGCGGTTTGATTATATTCGTAACAAAAATCGTTACTGGGTTCTCTAAAATCATCGTATGGGGAAGGTGTGTAGGCGGAGTGTTGGGTATCGTCATATTCATTAGCGTAGTCCTGGTTCACCGTAGTCGGAATAATCGTAAGAATCAGGAGCGACATAATTAATTCGATTGGGAGGATTTTGTCTAAAATTTCTTTGAAAATTAGGGTTTTGGTAATTTGGATTGCTCTGAATTACAGAGGGTCTTGGCGCACTCGCGTTAGGCGCATTTGGTCGTATTATAGATGGTCTGGGAGGATATTGATTAGAATTTTGATGGTAGTTAGATGTAGACGGTCTAACTTGCATAGGTTGATTCGGTCTACGGTAATTTTGAGGCTGGGGCTGGTTAAACTGTCTCGGGGCAAAACTTGTAGACTGTTGTCTCCGTTGGCATTCATTTGCCAAGTGACCGGGACGATTACAAAAATTACAAATTTTAAGGTTTGGTCTTCGATTAACAGAATTTTGATTCGGGTTTGGGGCCCTGGCGAATTTTTGTCTTTCCAAATATGAGAGTTGTAACTCTCGTTTGATATACGAAACTGCGGTCAAGATATCCGTGGGATGTCCTGATCGCACAACAGGTCCTATTTTCGAGTCTAATCCTGTTAATAGACAATTTAAAGTCATCGTTTCGATGAGAGAACTTTGAGCAGATTTTTGCTGGCGATTTAGATTTTGCCTATTCACGGCGGAATGCATTTTGGCTGCATGCGTCTGCAGTCTAGATGCAAAGGTTAGGGGTGATTCGTTGTGGGTTTCTAACAGGGACCGGATGTCTTCCCACGTGGAAGGGTTTCGGCTGTTCACAAGTTCGGCGGCACGTCCGCGAAGTTTGTTTTTAATATGTAAAACGACGAGAAGCCGCTGCTCCTCGACGGCCATTTGATATGCCGTTCGGCAGGCGTTGATGAAGGTCGATAGCAATATCGGGTTTCCATCGTACTCGGGTACAATCGAAAATATTTCAGATAATCTATAAGGTTCAATGTTCGCATGAACGTTATCAGGAATTTCAGCTGGTTGGTAATCATCTGAACCGTTAGTAGACATTTTAAATGGAAAGTTGTTTCAAAAAGATTCAACAATGTCAAGCGTAAACGCAAAAATATACAAATGTAAAATAGAAAAATACGTAAAAATGGGGAAACATACGTAAAAATCACACACACAGAGATAAATCGCAAAAAATAATTAGATTGAAATTGTACGTTACCAAGGGTAAATCGGGAGGCAGTCGAGTTCTCCAGGCGGCTAGTGGATCTCTTGCGATGTTTCTAGTAGTCTGTCTGCAGTTGGGTGGCTGCTGCTCGCTGTGTCCCCTGTTGTTTTCCTTCTTCTTGTTGCTTTGTAGTTTCTTACTTGTAGTTTTCCTACTTGTAGGTTTCTTTCTTCAATGGGTTTCTTTCTTCTTAAGGCTCGTTGGTCCTTTTCAGCTTAAAGGATGGGCATCCACCGCACCAGTTAGTATGCACGTGTTCTAATGCATTGAAGCTATCCCACTTCTGACACCAATTTCATTAGATTTAGAAATAACTTTTTAAAAAAATTTATTTGAGGACTGAAGCTTCAGTCCATATAAAATACAAAGGTTTACAGATGTGACATTTACGGAGTCTAACCGGGTATTGAACAACATGATATGACCGCGAGGCCTATTTATACAT